AAAATTAATAAAAATCAACCAAAAATTATATATATACCCTAAATGAAAAAAAAAAAGCAAAAAAATAAAAGCTCAGATGAACTCAATGTCTGTGTGACCCCCCCGATGCTCTGCTGGGGCTGATCCGGCCGAGCTGTGCTTTTGGGTACCAGCCTCCAGAGCCAGCGGGGAATTGTTAAATCAAGAGGGAGGGAAAATGGGGGTAAACCCCCGCTGGCCCCTGGCTGGTGTGGGCTTTGCCCTGAAGTGGGGGGGGGAGGCCAAAACATCTGCCCTAAAACCCCAAACCCCAGCGAGGGAGCAGCCGGAGGATGCTCCCACTGCATCCTCCCTCCTGATGCAGCCGGGATGGGAAGAATAGGAACAGGCCTCGTTACTGTTGTTATTTCCCTTCGACACTCGGCCAGGAGGTGGGGTTTAGGTTTTTCCCCTCTTTTTTAAAGACAAAAATGTATGTTTTGGGTTCTGGAGGCTGGGGGTGCCGGTGGGGCTTGGGGCAGGCAGGAGCTGCCCTGCGCTGGGAAGAGGAATAATTAATCACAATAATGAAATAAAAAAAGCCAACCCACAAGAATTAATTATAGTAATAATAACAGTAATAAAAAAATAAACCCACATGGTCAAATGGGGGCTGGAGGAGAAGCCCCCTCCTGCACGAGCCCCAGCACAGCCCTGCTCTTGCCATGGGGCAATCCCAGCGCTGCCCCTCTGCCCCACAGCTCTGGGAGTGGGGCTGAGCAGGGTCCCTCAGCCCTAGGGCTGCCCCTAGGATGCAGCCAGGGCCAGGGGGCTCTTAGACCAACTAAGGAGGTGGGTGTGGATTTTATATCTCTATATACGTATATATATAATTTTTCCTTACGCCTTTTTATTTACCAACTCGCACAATCACGGTTTGTTTTTCTCTCATTCAATCTGTTTTGTTTTTGCTTTGTTTCACTTGTTTTTCCCGCACGCGCACGCGCATGTGTGTGTGTGTCTGTGTCTGTGTGTGTCTGTGTGTGGTTGCGTTGGGTTTTTGTTATTATTATTATTAACCTTTATTTTCGTGTTTCTTTTCACTCCTGGCACTGCGGCCGCCGCCACCCCACAAGTCGCTTTGCGCCGGGAGGGGGGGTCAGTACAAGCCGCAGCCCCGCAGGTTGTTGGCAATGATGATGTCGGTGACAGCGTCAAATACCACCTGGATGTTGTTCGTGTCTGTGGCACACGTCATGTGGCAGTAAATCTCCTTGTTGGGGGAGCGGTTTTTGCTTTCAAACTGTGCTTGGATATAGGCGGCCGCGTCCTCGTAGGTGTTGGGACCTGCGGGCAAAGGTGAAACAGACTGGGGGGGGTCAGGGTCAGGATGATCCCCCTCTGGCCAAGCACCCTGCCCCTCGCTGCTTGTGAAGTGATTCGTTTCTAACAAAAACAGGCGAACCCTCTTTATTTTCATTTTTTTCACTCCCCATCAGGGCCCATTTACCCATTTTCCTGCCCCATTTCTCTCTCCCCCCCCAGTTACTCTTTTCCACTCCATCCAGCCCCATTTTCCTCCTCTTTTCCTCTGAATCACAGAGCACCTGCTGGAACTCCTTTCTTTCCACCTGTGGCTGCTTTGCCCTCTCTGCCTGCTCCCCTTTTTCTCCCTGGGGAAAGGCAACAGCTGCCAGCAGTGCCCAGGGACACTCCTCTGGCATCGCTGCTGCCCCGGCACCAGGGGTGAGTCCTCACAGCGCATCCCAGTGGAGTGTGGGGAGCGTGAGAGTGTCAGGCAGGGGGAGGGTTGGTGGCCACTCCAGTGTCAACCATGGCTGGTGGCTGGGCACCCTTCGTGGGGCTGACCCCCTCTAGGAGCTGTGGGGCTGGGGTCTCACCCCCTTATAGGAATGGGTGATGGGGAGTGATGTGGCAGGAACTTCCCGGGGACGTGCTGTTGTTGCCTGCTTCTATAGGGCTGGAGAGGGGCAGCTGCACAGCCTGAATGACACCCCTGGAATCACCTTTGGAAGAACTGCTCTTATATGGGGATTTATTTTCCTCTTCCAGCTTGCCACTTCCCCTCCTTCCTGAAAGACAGGGTGAGGTAGCCTGGTGTGACTGGGACAGCCGGGATGTGCTGTACAGCTTCATATGGGATAGTTTGGGATGTCCTGCTGCGTGGTTGGGGAAAAAGTGCTGCTGCTTCCATGATGGAGAAGCCGCAGAACCTCCAGTGGAAATGCTGGCACGCTTCTGCCATAAGGCAGTGGGGGCTGTCCTGCTGTGGACACCCCTGTCCCCAAGGTATTTTGTCCGGGCAGAGGGTGTTCTCTGGGTGAAGTAGTTCAGAGACATTTCCACATCTGTAGGGGGTGCTGGAGCCTCTGAATCTGAGCTGATAGTTCCTTCTCCTGGGAAAATTCAGAAGCGAGATCTTTTCTTACACCGTTTTCTTGAGTTTTATTCTTTTCCCCAAGACAAGCCGGTTTTGCTCAAAAACATCTGATTCTCTTGTGGTTTCAGACTTCTGCTGTAAAGAGGCTCTTTTCTTCCCCAGCTGTGCCCTGCACAAAGGCACTCTTGGGAGGATGCAGCTTGGAGGAGCACGTCTTGGGTCCTCTAGCAGGAACTTCTCAGGAACTATCAGCAACACCATGGCTTAAGTGGCAGGCAGTCAGCTCCCAGCAAGGCTTCAGCTTTCCACAGCTTCCTGTGGCCAGGCTCCTTAAAGCTTACTTTGACCATGACCATCATCTCTTGACCATGACCATCATCTCTTGACCACACACCTTTGTCACAAGAATTGAATACATGCAGGACACAACCCCACCCCGTTAGTGGTGTGCTGGAGCCCCACTGCAGCTCTCAAAGGTGAGCAGTGCTTTTGCTCCCCTAATGGTGCCCTGTCCCCTCTGCCCCCTCTGGGTTGAGTCGCAGCCCTCAACCCCAGGGCTGTGGTGGTGGGGTCACGCTGGGCTGTGCTAGCCCCGGCACGTACCTGTGTATTCAGGGAAGCAGATGGTCAGAGGTGATTTCTTGATCTTCTCAGCAAATAGGTCTTTCTTGTTGAGGAAGAGAATGATGGAGGTATCAATGAAGAATTTGTTGTTACAGATGGAGTCGAAGAGCATGAGAGATTCGTGCATGCGGTTCTAAAATGGGAAGCATGGAGGGAGGAGAGGGGAGACAGAAAGGCAAAGAGAAAGGCAGAGTTAGAGGAGAGGAGAACATCTTCCTGAACTGAAATGATTAGAAAGCAAAAAAATCTCTGAAATAAGACAGTGATAATTTTGAGATAGTTACAAAGGTGGAGGAAATGGACCACTGCTCTTCTGGGCTGGAGGACAAGGCACTGTGGAGGTTGGGGCAGATCCCTGTGGGGCTGCTCAAGCAGAGCTGACACCTGAAGCTTCAAGGAAAAGCAGAAAAAGTCATTAGCTCATCACAGGCCTCACCTGAGGAGTGTGGAAGAGGCCTGTGCCTCTGCAGGGGCTGGGCACACCTGAAACATTGCTTGCAGAGCCTAAAGCAAGGATGGACAGCCAGGATGGGGACTGGGATGGAGGGAGTTCTGGTCACCTGGGGTGATCCTATGGACCTGCCTGGAAGGGAATTCGTGCTGGGCGGTGCCATGTGGTGGGACAGGTGCCGAGGAGTTGCCAGAGGATGGGACAGATCCTGTCCCAGCTGGGCCATTCTGCCCCTGGAGACATCTTCAGCCCCTCATTGAAAGGACCCAGTGGTGGCCAGGTGGCTGCTAAGAAACCAGGCTGCAGGCTGCTCCAGGGGCATGGTGAGCACAGAAGGGTTTTAGTAGGAGCACAAATAGAGGCAAATATCTGAAACCTGTAATTTTACGATTGGCCTTTCACATGTAGGCAAAAGCCATGTAAAGCCATTTCTCCTGTGCTACAGAAGTTGTTATCAGAGAGGGCTAGAGAATGGACAGGACAGGAGGGGACGGAGAGGTTGTTCTACATTGAATCAACTGTTACAGAGCCCCACCAAGTACTTTCATGCTTCACTCAAGCTGCTGCAGGGGCTCTCTGCAGGCACATGAACCCATTGCTGTGGGGGGGTGCTGCTGGACAGGACAGGCACAGCTCTTCAGGAGCTCTCAAATTTTCTCCATCATTAACTTAGAACAAACAGGAAGCCATTCCCTTGAGCTCCATGGAGAACGTCGGGAGCCATTTCAGGCAGTCTGTGTGCTGCTTCTGTTGCATTTACCCATCTAGTTCACTACTTGAATGCACAAAGCTTCTGGTACTGAACCAGGGCTTAGTGCAGTCTGAAGGCACTGGACCCACTGTGCCCCCCTCTACAACCCCCTCCTGGGGTCCTGGCTCAGTGGCCAGCTGCTCATATGGGGTTTATCTGGAAAACCTTTGCATGGAGCAGAGGGCAACAAGAGTGCTCAGCAGCCAGTGGGAAACCCACCTGCAGCAAATACCCATCAGAGAGAGCCCCTTTTTGGAGGTGGTGGTGGTCAGGCTTTGGATTTGCCGAAGATTCAGGAGAACACACGTGTTTCCTAATGAAATGATGACCCAGTTACACATCTTGGAGTTTTCCATGAATGTTTTATTAGTGAGTCACTTTATTAGCTACACTTCAACTGTAGATTTGCATGCAAAATTTAGCAGATGTCTGATTTTGTCTTGAAAGACTTTGAGATTACACCTGTGGTTCCTTGACAAAAAGCAGTGAGGGATGCGATCCCTCACTGTACTTTCAAAAGCTTCAGGACTTTTACCCCTATATCTTAAAAACAAAGAAATAAAAAACCTTGTTCATGGAGTAAACAAACTGCCACAGAACAATGTGGGTCATCATGACCTGTGGCTGCTGCAAAAATGCTGGGTCTTGAGACTTTCATGGAAAGGATCCTGGTGTTTGGTGTTTTCTACCTTGTTCATCCCATGTTGTTCCATATAAGTATTATATTTAAATAAGGAACTGATGGTGTTGGAGGACCAGCTGAAATAAAGAATGTGCCCAGGGAAATGAAAATCCCCAGTGCAGGGAAAATAACCCTGATGACCTGAACAGGAAGTTTCCAGTGTAAAAGGTCTAGGCAGGATAGCATCCTGGAGGCAATCTATAAAATACCCCTATATGAATATGCAAAGAGCAATCCTTTTCCTCTTGGCCATCAATTTTTCTCAGGGCTGGCCTTTCATTTGGATCTGCAGGATGGGATGTGTGGGAATATGTGTCTGAGGATGGGTCCAGCTGAAGTTACATCACTGGAAGTAGGTGAAGCCAACGGGAATCATGGTTAATTTTCCTTTGCTGAGGTTTATGGAAATTTTTCTCTTGGTTTCTTCAAGTTCTTTGCTTCTACTTCATGTCCCAAATAATGGAAGATCGTGGGTGGGGCAAGGGACTGCAGGAGGGGAAGGATAATTTCAAGAAGCCAAGGAACAAAGATAAACCATGATAAAGTTGTTCTACTTAAAAACAAAGGGGGAAAGAAAACTCCACCAAATACTTACATAAAATTAAATATCTTTTGGTCATATCCATTTCAAACTCTTGATTTCAGGCAAATGAGGCTGTGGCAGATAACTGACGTGTGTATGTGCACAGAGCAGATGTACGGTAAATAACGGGCTCAAGAAGCTGGACACACTCAAGGGAGACACAATAAAGCCACTCTCACACTAGAAAAGAGCTGGCACTTTATTAAGGTTTTGTAACTAATAAATACATTACGGACAGCCAATAAATTATTACAGTAACTAATGCTCTATTAAACCCATGGACAGTCACTCTTCGTACAAAATTACAGTTAATAGTTTGGGCCATCAAACATGCAGGAGAAATGGTTCAGCGGGAAACCAGCAAAAGGAAAATGGTGGCAGCCTCCGGCGATCCTTTGGGAGGAAATATGATGGGGAGGCAGGGTGATAGTCACTTGTCGAGCTGAAAGGGGGAAAGGGAGGTGGGGAAGTAGGGCTGGGGATGTTAAATTAGGGACTGGGCTATTTAATGCGGCAATGGTTGGTCTTTAAACAACCCTATTTGAGTGCCACAGGGTTGCTTCTGCACCAGCAAAGCTGGTGAGACTCAGGCAATGCTGAAAATTGTGTTGTTACTCGCTATGATCTCCTCTCCCCACCTGGAACAGGGGGTTTAGTCCTGGAATCACCTGCCTGCACTACAGGACAATCAGGATTTGCCCAGGGAGAACTGGGCTGCCCTCTCTGGGAGATGGTTTTGCCCTATCTCCAGATCCCTTCCCTTTCCCTCTGCCTGCATGGTGCTATTTGGGAGGCTTTGGTCCTCCTCCTCTCATTAACACATCAATGCTTAAGGCTCACACTTGCTCGTGTTTGCCAGCTAGCTTTTGCAGCACAAATAAAGGTCTCACAGGCCGCTGATTTGGATGTGAGTGGTCCTGTGAGAAGTCCCTTTCCATAGTCACGTTCTCAGTGTAACACCTGATATAGGTCACATACCTGTATCTGCCAGCATCAGTTACCTGTGTCATTGCAGGAGCTCAGAGATTATAATGGACACTCAAGTCTCGGGGTGCTTGGGGAGAGTGTTTCTGTCTGGTCTCTCCTGCAGGGTGGTGGAGGCAAGACTGTGGTCTGCTCTTTTGTGCCACCTGGACCACATCTCTGCTTTCTTGTCTGTTCATTGGGGATACAAGTGTGTGAGCAGTGTGGGTGGTCAGGATGATGCTTAGTAGCACCACTCCCATTGACCTTGGTGCCTCTGGCATCAGACCGTAATGAGTGTTTTAGTCTCCTTGGAAATGGTGGTAGACTTTTTGGTAGTAAGCCTGAAGACAAACCTGGCCCATGACAAAGACACAAATACACTAGTACTAAGCTTCTCTAATTGACCTGACAAACGGTCAGCCTTGTTCCCAGGAACTCAGCAATACTCCCTGGCTCCAGGAGCTTTTATGGCCACAAATTGCTCAGACCCACTGCACAGGCTACCAGTGCAGGGCTGGTCCCTTTTACAGCATCAACTGCAAAATGCCCTGCGGGTGATGTCTGCCATCCGCAACTGAACCGTGTGCCTTGTTAAGCATCAACTGGGCACAAGGGGATGTTTTGGCAAAAGGACATCTGTGTTCCACCTTACCCTCCTGGGACTGCATTCCTGGCCCCAAAACAAAGCCTGTTCCCTTGCAGGCAAGCACTGGACCACAATAGATTAAAACCACCAGATATATTTCAATGTACATTACAGTATAGGCTGCTGTCATTAATACTTTTAGTGTCCCGTAAAACTAAATCACACCTACTGAGGAGGCACGGCAGCCTCCTCCCAAGGCTGCTCTCCCCTCTGTGTAGGGAGAGGCTGGCCGGCTGGCCAGGAAAGCTGAAGGGAAGGAGCTAATTCTGATACAAAACTCCTGAGAGAGATTTAGCTGGCAGTGTTTCTGGGAGGGTGGCGGTGGGAAGCCAATGGGCCCTGTGGGAGGGCAGGGGCAGCAGGGACAGCACGGTGGGAGCAGATGGAGGGGCCAGATGGCCTGGCCGAGTGTTCCCACTGCCCTGCTGCTCCACCGGGCTCCTCGGCCCTGGGTGAGAACCAGGCTGTGAGCTCTGTTTGCTGGGCAAGATCTGGCCTTTGAAGTGTGTGGCTGTATTTTAATGCGTGCTTCTTATTGCTAGTTCTCCGGACAAGCCCAGCTTCTGTATCCCCTCAAGGAGCAGTGCTCTACAGCTCAACCCTGCAGCCTCATCTATGGGCTTGTTTCCAGGCTTTCCTTCTACAGGCTTCTCTATGATTTAAATTGAATAGTTGTTCAAATAAAGGAATAATTGTTGGTGTGGGGGTTTTTTTTCTTTTCTTTTTTTTTTAAATGCATTAAAGTCATTAAAAACTGAGTCATCAAAAACCTCCTGCATTCCAAAAAGGGCATCTTTTGCAATTTTCCACATTAGCTTTGAAGGGCAGCAGGGTGTATATACAGCTGTTTCAATTCTGTGCTTTTAAAACACATTCCCCATGCCCTGGTATGATTTCTGATGCAGCTGTGCCAGTTGCAACATCCCTGCTACGTGGAGACTGTACATTAAATACAACTCAGGGCCTCTGAGGGTCTGGATTTAGAGAATCCTGATTGCAAAGCATAAAGGGCCATTAAGAAAAGGGGTTTTGAAAGCAGGCAATGTATTTCAAGGTCTTCTTTCTAGGCAACTGCTGCAAGGATTGCTGGTACTTAGGAAAAGCACAGGGCAAAAGATTGCCTGCAGAAGGCACATCTGTCAGAGAAGGCTTAGGAGCATGCAGAAAGCCAGCAGTGAGCAATGCTTTGGCAGGCATTCTGAAGACAAAAATCTATACACAGCCATCAAGTGGGAGAAATAGTAGTGTTTAACACTGGAAGCATTTCATCTTCCAAATGTTGCTTCCAGCCTTTGTCAGTGAATGCTCATGACACTTGTGTGAGGGAGGGAATGTCAGCAGCAGCAGCTGAAATGAAGCTTTAGGCATACAGTATGCCAAAGAAAATGGCAGAAAAGGCTTTGTGAGGCAACATGTTCTCCTCTTTTTCTCCTTTTTCTCAGGAGGGGGTTGGACCTCTCAGCCAGCACGGCCAGGCATGGATTACCTGAATCCAGCCTGGAGCGTGGCACAGGCACTCCGAGCTGGCACTGGTGACGTGGTAGCATCTGGCAGAGTTTGGGGTTGAGTTAATTTAAATGATCTTTACCAAAATACTCCTATTGCTCTACGCTGGGAAGTCCTGAAGCCTTGGCTTGGTGCTGCCTGCGCTGGGAACAGCTTCTGTTACTTATTCGCTTGGATAAATTGTCACCCACAGCAAGGGGTGGGAACAGGAAATCTCCAAAATTCCAGTGCTGATTGAACTCTTCTGACAGAGCTTAACATAATACCTGCCTCACCGCCAGCACAAGCACTGCACTCTGGGTCTAGCAACTACATACACTTTATGTACCTGTCCTGGGTTCAGCTGTGATAGTTATTTTTCTCCTTCCTAGTAGCTGGTGCAGTGCTGTGTTTCGGCTTTAGTCTGACAACAATGCTGATAACACACTGATGGTTTAGTTGTTAAGTAGTGCTTACTGATCGTGCATCACTTGTGCTTTTGGCGCCCAACATGGGACCCTCCGGGGTCAGGGCAGGAAAATTCCAAAAAGGACTGTCATGGTTTAAGCCCAGCCGGTAACTCAGCACCACACAGCTGCTTGCTCGCTCTCAGTTTCACCCCACTCCTGGCGGGATGGGGAGGAGAATCAGAAGAATGTAACTCCCACGGGTTGAGATAAGAACAGTTCAGTAACTACGGTATAATACAAAACTACTACCACTACCACCAAGAATAATAATGATAAGGGAAATAACAAGGGGAGAGAATATAAAACTAAAAGGGGAAAGGGAAAACCCCAATAAACCCAAGTGATGGACAATACTATTGCTCAGGACACACTGACCGATACCCAGCCTGACCTGAACAGTGATCAGTCCCTTACGGGTGACTCCCTTCCAGTTTCTATACTGAGCATGACGTGCTGTGGTATGGAATACCCCTTTGGCCAGTTTGGGTCAGATGTCCTGTCTCTGCTTCCTCCTGCTTTTTTGTGACCCTCCTCACTGACAGAACATGAGAGACTGAAAAGTCCTTGATCAGAGTAAGCACTACTGGGCCACAACTAAACATCGGTGTGTTCTCAGCATTGTTTTCATACTAAAGCTGAAACACAGCACTGCACCAGCTACTAGGAAGGACAGCCAAACTCAAAGGACAGTACCAAATGTAATTAGCATGCAGTTTTTCAGCCCTTATTTTGACACCTAGAGCACATTGGGATGCTAGGTGTGACTGGTGGGACCCGGCCACCAACATGGGACAAGCTCCAGGAGCATCCCCATCCCTCTGCAGCTAACTGCTTGCCTATCCTGTGGCAGAAGCTCCATCCCATTGCTGACAGCTGGCCCCTTCCAAGGAACCAGGCAACTGGGCAGGTGCTTCCTATTGGGAATCCTTTCTTTGGAAAACCTTACCACTGGCGCTTCCTGAGCTAAACCTAATACAACGACATGCGCAGGCCTTGTGATCAGTGTTCCTTTGGTTTACAGTGGTACAGCAGTGTGCTGGCACTAAATGGAGCTGGGAGAAGGGCTGGGACCTGGGAAAACAAGAGGTGCAGGTAGGATGTGGCGTGAGGAGCAGAGGGACTCCTAGCTTTGCTGGCTGGACAGTTCTCTGTGGGAGCTAATGCCACCGGAGGTATCTTAAGGCTGAGATGGTGAAGAGAAAGGCTGTACTCAGTTGTGCCAAGCAGGGGAGGCAGAGACCTGGTGTTATTGCCATTAGTGTCCAGCAGAGCAGCAGCGGGCTCTCACTGTATAACACTCAAGATAGTTTTATCACTTAATGCTATTTAGGAGGTTACTGACACAACCGCCAACCATGCTGGCTGTGAGCTGGTTATGGGGTGAAAACCACCTTGTTTTTCTCTGCAGGCCACCCCTAAGCTCCAGGGTGCTCCCCCTCACCTCCCTTGCTGGGGTTTTGTCAAGATATCCCACGTGCAGTGTCCTGGCAGAGTCCAATCTGACAGTGACTCTCCTCAGGCTCCCTTCTCTTCCTGCTCTCCTGATGCCTCAACCTGCCTCATCTCGCTTCTGCAACTTCTCTCCAAAACCATGCCCCACCCCAACTTCTCACACTGGTCCTCTTCATCCAGTGCCACCATACCTGCTCCTTCCCCTGCCTCCCGCACACTGGTGCTCATCTGGCCCTTTGCTTTTGGGCTGTGCTGCTTTGGGCTGCTCTCACACCATTTCTCCTAGATGGGCACAGCAAGAAAAGAGAGGCTGGCCTGGAAAGACTAACATTTTCCAGGATCATGGAGTGTAAGAGAGGTAAAGAAGAGGCAGGGATTAGCATTGGCTATCTGCTCCCATGTGCAGATAGGCCCTGAGTGGGACCTTGGAGGTGGCTGTACCACCCAGACACCAAACAAGCGTTCATGGTGGACTTCTAAGGGTCCCTCCATGCTCCCGGAGACGACACCCCAGCTCTCGCACTCCCCTCCGCCTTTACCCCAGCAGTACCAAGCAGGCAGATGGCCACACATACCTCAGCCCAGCCATGTTTGTCATTCTTATATCCCCATATTTGGCTGTGCTGGGCACTACCCTTGCCATTTCCACACCTCTCCCCTAGCTCTTTCTTCCTCCCTTCCCTCTCTTCCTTGCACTTTTCCTTCCTGCTCCACCACTTGGCTCAAATCAGCTCCCTGAGTCCTCCCTTGTTATTACATGGCCAGTATAAACCATCCCTCTCACTTTAGATTCTGGTGAAGGGATGCCCTGACTGGAGGCACCAAACCTGGAGCTGTCTCTCTTGGATGGCCAGGCAGGAGATGACACAGGCAAGCTACCTGATTCTGCTCAGCCAGGGAGGCTCAGAGTGAAAGGTCAGGCTTCTCAAGGGTATTTAGATGCGATAAAAAGCTGCAAGGCTCCTGCACACCTTGCTGTCACCCAAGCATGGTGAGGTTTCCCAAAGCACCTCTCTGCATTTCAGCTACTTGAAAGTCAAACTGCCTATAAGAAGCCAGGGCTAAATATTTTTGGTGCACCTCAGCATTTCAGGGCTGAAGTTTGGAAAGAGATGCTGCGTGTCTGCAGGAACATTGGTTGTGCTGGAATCACTTAGGCTGGGAGGTGCTTTGGGAAAGGTCCCTGGGTCTCCAGCTGGCATCCCTGTGCATGGGATCCCCATCAGGATGCCATCTATAGAGCATCCTTGCTGCCTATGCTCCAGGGTTCAAGACCAGCTGCCACTGCCCAGCAGCTCTGTGGCATCCACCAAAGCTCCTCAGAAATGGGTTACTGAAACCACTAGACATATTTTGACATTAATTTAGAAAAACTTGAGGTAAAACTGTTACTGACAATGAATGCTTTTCGACAAGGCTTAGTAAGTTTTGTTACTGTGTCCCTCTTACTCAGGCACCAGCAGAACTCGATATGGCTGTTTCACTTGTTCAAATAGCTGTCTGGAAAAAAGGAGAATATACAAATCCAAGCTGTGGTGGCTGCATTCAACACCAACCCCTCTGGCTTTCGGATAGGAACTGGAGCCATAAGGTACCCTCAAAATGATCATATTGTGTCTAGCACTTCCCAAAGAAATAGTGGTAAAAAAAAAAAAAAGTATATAAATAACCAGAATCAAAAATATCCCCTAATTTCAAGGAAAAAAGAAGTTTCGGTTCCAAACTAGACTGTTGCTGACCAGTATTTTAAGGCTTTGTTTTTTTCTTTTTTTTTTTTTTTTTTTTTTAACTGAAGTATTTTTGGCATTTGGCAGTTGAAATGCACTTTGTGGGCAATGCGTTAGCTCCCTCTACAGCACTGTGAATTGGACGGAGGAGTAGAGCAAAGCAGCAAGGGAGCGAACCAAAAATAAATCAAACCAAAGTAAACTGGGGCTGGGGAAATTAGAACTTGCTGCAAAGTTTTCTGGGACAGAAGGAGTGATTTATGGATTTCTTCCTCATCATCTTCTGAGAAGGAAAAAGAAGAAAGAGAGAGGACCTGTCCGCAGGACCGGAGGATGCTCCTGGCGGGTGTGAGGGGAGGAGGGAAGGAGGAGGGTGCCTTAGTAGAGTCCGCAGCCCCGCAGGTTGTTGGCGATGATGACATCCGTGACCGCGTCAAAGACGAACTGGATGTTGTTGGTGTCGGTGGCGCAGGTGATGTGCGTGTAGATCTCCTTGTTGGTGGACTTGTTCTTGCTCTCATACTGAGCCTGGATGTAAGCCACCGCCTCCGTGAATAAGTTTGGGCCTATAAGAGAGCCAAGGAAAGAGCTGGTTAAAGCAATCCCATAACCCTAAATCTGTAGGGTGACTGCAAGCACCCTATTGTAGGGATATGGGGGGCTCATACGGGGCTGCTGTAACCCAGCCACCCCATCTCCATCTCAGGGATCCAGCCAGGATTGCTGCAAGGGAGGAGATGCTATCTGACTGCCAGCTCAGCTGTATTTTTATTCTGGGTTGCTGTTTATAGTCTACAGAGATGAAATGGATGAGGGAACTGAGTATTAAACAGGCTGTGATGGGAAAACCAGCAGAAATTCCACATCATGATGACAAAAAAGAGAAGAAAACTGCCAGGAATGCAGCAACTGCTTAACCTGGTGAAAAGGCTTAGTTTTTGTTTCATTTTTAGACTTTGGTATTATATTTTCAGCTTTTGATGGAAAAGAAGAGCTAGAATGTCCATGAATTGCGGGCAGTGTTGGTAACTGTGCCCTCCTTTCCCTGAAGCACTAAGAGAAAAGGACATGAAAAGATCCAGCCTCTGTTACAGGGCAAAGTGGGGTTTTCTCAAAGACAATAACAAGCAGTGACACATAATATAAAATGTGCCTCTTTTTGATGAATTAGGATTACAGTGCAGTCTGCTAGACCTGTGACTAAAATCACACCATGAGGAGCTTTTTGTTTTTATGTATAGCAATGCCTATGCCAAGCCTTATTAACCATCAAGTTGTGTTAAAAAAGCTGAAGAGCAGTCATGCAAAAGACCAGATCCTTTCTCATCTGTCCAGCCTTGACACTGGTCGCACACAGGGCTCCACTTGGGTTCCTGCTTTGGTCTGATAAACTCAGTTTTTTGAGCTGGCCTGGAGTGCAGCCCTGGAAGGCTCCACTGCTAACACTCATAGATCCCTTGCCCTCTGTGATGCTTTACTGATGGGAAATGTCGTTGTCTGCTAGAGAGAAGCTTACTTGCGATTGAGATTTGCTGTGGTTGAACACAGCAAGTGGGAAATCACTTGCACTTAAATATACATGCACTGCTAATTGAAGACACAAGCTTATGAATTTCGTAAGACTTGAAAATACACTTGAAGTAAGAGAAGCAAAATGTTTTCTGGGAGGAGGTTCTTGCATGAAGACCTGTGTAAAGAATTTGGGAACAGTTCCACATGCTGTGCACAGCCAGGAGGGTATTTGATCAAAAGGAAGTTGGTTGTTCTAAGGTGTAAGGATTTAGGTGCTGGATTCCTTCTGGGAGAACAGGGACTCACTATATCCAGCTTGGTTTAAAACATGGCCTGGGTTCTGCTGCTGCTTCCCTAAGTATTGTGGGTTAATGCATTTTAAACACATGAGTGAATTAAGGGGATGGAAACAGTCAGTGCTCCAGCATACAGCAAGCGAATTTGTGGATGCAGTCTTCTAGTAATTCTGTCAGCAGAACTAATGGACATCAGAAACCTCATTTTATTAAAAGCATTTTGTGGAACCTACTTGTAATGTAGAAGGTCCACTCGTTTGATTTATAGGCTTTCATTAAATAATTCTTTTTAACTCCAGGGCAACTTTCTAATAATGCTTTTTTCACAAGGCCACAAGGGCTTCACCATCAAGCTGTGGTCAGTAAAGCAGGGATGAGTAAGCTTAAGTGTGTGCTTGGGTCTAAAGTCTGGGCTTAACTGCATTGCTGAACACCTGGAGTGAGATATTTTTCACCTCTGGTTCAGATCCCTGTTGGATCATTTGGAAGGACTTTCAGCCTTCAGACTTCCAGACCTCTCTGGAGAGAGACAAGAGGTCTGTGGAGAGTCCCTGGCATTGTGATAACTCCCAGCTTCCAGAGCAGCACCTTGAAGGAATTTAGAGCATCCTTGGGGTACTCTGAGATTTAGGAGGACTGATTTGGTTCACTTGAAGCTGAAGTGCTCCAGCAACAAGCTATATTTATTTTCCTTTGTGCAGTCAGCTGAGAGCTTAGCTACATGTGTATGAGAGTCTGCCTCCCCCATTGAACTCCTCTCTTAGGCTGGGATAGCTTGGGAAGGAAAAGTTACATCTAAACCAACATTTCTTCTTGTTCTAGTGCCTCTGCCATCAGAGATATGTAAGAACATTATTTCAGAGTGGGGTTACTGGGAGATCTTCTTCAGTGAAGATCCACAAAACCAGGTTCACAAAATGTGATCAAGAAGGAGTGAAAGGTGCAGGTTTGCTTCATGGAGAAAAGTGAAAAGGAAGATGGTGTGATAATAATCTTCTGGTATACAGAAGCGCTGCTACAAAGAAGATGGTGATGAGCTGCTCTACAAGCCATCCAAAAGATGGCAAGCAGCGATCTAATTTGCAACCAGAAAAATTTGAGTTTGGCTTTATTGTGACCTTTCCACTGTAAAGACTGTGAAATTTCCATTATTAGATCTTTTTAGACAAACATATTAGGACTATGTTTGTTCTCTCTAGACCAAGCAGGTGAGTAGATGGCTGAAATGTGGTGGTAGTGACAAACATCCAAATCTTCCCAAGAGAGGAAGCCTGTAGATGCTCTTCTGAATTCAGATGGAGTCGTTCAGCTCCATGCCCATAGACCATTCAGCCCAAAGCAGCCGTGATGGATCGCTTTTGCTTATTCACAATGAAAAATCAAATGCTCAGAGGAAGGAAGCTCTGGTTAATAATTTGTTGGCCTGCCCAGAAGTGTGACACTCTTGGTACTCCTGGTTCACAACTCCATTTCCTGACAAAGAGATCTGCTTCTCTGTCTGTCAGCTTGATTCATCTGGATGTCTCCGATGAGCTTAAATAATTCATGATGATAAAAGTTTATTTTTATGCTGTCTCAGAATGGTAATGAGCGTTGGTGGAAGCTGGCGAGATGCAGCTGCAGCCTTTGCATAGGTGATGTATTCTCATCATTAGCAGGTCAGATGCCAGGCAGCCAACAGAAGTGAGGGCTTCTCACACGCTGCTGTGTTGCAGAGCCTCTGTTTTGATCTCTTAAGTATCTCTGAGGCCTCCTTCCCTCCAGCCAAGAGCAGGGCATGGCCTGCTGTGGCTCTTCACTGCCTGCTCTACGGGCAGATGCATTGGTGCCACTGCACAGGAGAATCAAGCATCTTGTTTTCTATCTGCATTTAACTGGAAGTGTTTCTATGTCCAGATGCTTGAAGTTAGTGAGCCTGAGAGTAAAACTGTGGACCTCCTAAATTAACATGATAAAAATGTACAGCTTGAGCTGAAGCAGCCAAGCTGTGAAACCTGCTGTCTGCATTTTGGAGGGCTGATCCTGCAGCCCCTTGGTGCCTGCCAGTGGGTTCCAGTGGCCAGGAACCACAGAGGGATCCAGAGATCAAACACACTACTTAGTGACAGTGGCCTTTTGGCAGCAAAGAAGTTGGGTTTAAGTCATCCTCATTCTTTCACTGGACCACTAAATATGGTGGGAGTGATCCTATGGCATTTATTGAAATAACACTTGCAGCGAAGGAAATGGGAGCTCTAGCTATGCATCTTTAGTCTGTGATACACGACAATATCAGCCTGGATGTGAGGCGCTCCACGATCCCTTTGCTATGCAGTCCTGTACAGCCACCTTTCTCATTACCTGTATACTCAGGAAAGCAGAGAGACAATGGAGATTTCTTAATTTTCTCCTCAAATATGTCCTTCTTGTTTAGAAAGAGGATGATAGATGTATCTGTGAACCATTTGTTGTTGCAGATGCTGTCAAAAAGCTTCATTGATTCATGCATGCGGTTCTGCAATAGAAAGGAGAGATCACATCAGGCCAAAGATAGCAACTCAGGGATGCTCAACATAAAAAAACAGCTAAATCAAGGAGAAAAAAAAAACAAAGAAAAGCTACAATATACATAATAACTTGATGTATACATACAGCTCAACATATACATACACAGATGCAATCCCTGTAACATTTGACATACAGTTAGTAACTTAAGGGCATTTAACTATACAGAGCTGTTCTGATTTTGCATAGCATATAATTTACAGGATCCCAGCTCATATAAATCATCATGCACCATGCATGGATGGGGAGTTATTTTTGCCCTTTGATCAGATTTATGTGTCGGTGTAGCTCATGCAGATTTTCTACAATATTTTCATTAACTTCTTAAACTTCTTTTTTCACTGTCTCGAGTGTGTGTGTCACACAACTGTTTGGGTACATTAACCAAGGACTGGTAGATCCTTGAATTAATCTGGAGTTGGAAGCAGACACCAAGGTGACATAATTTTGGAAATGACCTTGCCGTGACCTTTGCCAGGTTTTGTTATTTTGTTTAGTGTTGCTGGGCTTTTTATTTTTTCCCATTTTTTCAGTTGTCTTGGAAGATGGCTCAACAGAATGTGTCTCACCGAGAGCAAAAAAGTGAAAAAGGAAGGAGAAATAGTGTAAAAGAGAAAAACGTAACAAAGGGCATTTAAGAACAACCAGACTAGAAGTCAGGCAGCTACCACGGATGTTAGCTCATGCCTCTACAAGAATATCAGCTACTCGCCAGCAGAAGAGCCACACATTCAAATGCACGCACAGCGAGAAGTCAGCTTTTTGGTTATAGGTCATGCAAAAAAAGACACAAGAAACAAGAGAGAGATAAGAAGAATGAACAAAACAGACCAGTTAGAGAGTTGCAAAGTCCGCCACATGGTTTTATGGTGGTGGAAAGAGCTCACGGCAAAGTCAACCAACTGTCATGTTCCCTGTTGCTTTCAACTCTCTGTTTCTCTTTTATTTTTGTTGTTTTTTCTCAGTTCAAGAGAAGCTTCATACCTGCCAATTTGGTTGGTCTCTCAAATGCTCATTTTTTGGCCTTTGTTTGGCTAGATAAGGTCAGACGGCCGAGGAAAGGCTGTGAAGGTGCTGAGGCTGGCGATGTTGGGCGTGCGAGGCC